GCCCAAAGGCCAATTGGAATATTTTACAGGTTTTAAATTTTAATCGTAATTTCAATTTTCATTATGATGCATGTTATTAATTACTGTTTTTATTTATGTATTACCATTTCTATTTCCATGTCTAGCTAAACTATTGTAATCGATATGTAATAATAATTCAGACGGAATTTGATAATAATTGGCGTAGTTTTTCTCTTTTCAAAAACTCAGTTATGGTTTTAGTTTTTAATCAAAATTCTAAATAAATCTTTGTCACGACAGTGAGAAGCTATTTACGGTGGTTTTGCCACGACAGTGGGAAACCATATTAAGGTACGAACCAACAAGCGACAGCTGAGGTAAGACCAGATAGTAAAAACTAGGCATTTGATTTAAAAACAGCGAAAGCGCTTTAAAAAGGATTAGAACTTAGAGATTTTTAAAAGGTAACTTTAACCCCGAACGGGATAGAGAAAGCATACGTTCCGCCTTAGAGTTGCGACTAGCGTCAACAACCATCGTGAGACAAAAGTCTTTAAATCACTATTTTCTTCTTAAACTAAGTTTGAAAACATTTAATACGCCAATAAGTTGTCAAATCCCCGAAGAACAAAATTATTGCATATCGATTCATAAATTCATATCTTAAGTAAAACCTTAGTTCCCTTTAGTTTATGCATTTATTCTGCCATTATTCAACTTGAAACCAAACCGACCTAGCTAAACACCGTAACACCCGATAATACTAGATTGATTACGAGTCCCTGTGGGATCGATATCTATTATTACTACGCGATAGATTGTGCACTTGCAGTTAGATTTGTTAGACATAGAAAGTCGCGATCAGTCGGATCCGAGACCCATTTCTTTTTCACCCCATATTCTCTTATTACAATTTTTGATTTCGAATCGATGAAGTCTCTGATTCGTCAAACGTTGATCTTCGAGGAGGTTGAAACCTTCGTTATTTTAAATCTAAGGAGAATGACCATTTGGGTCATTTTCCTTACTTTGGGATCACGAGAGGTTTCCTTCGATTAAATTAACTTAAAGTTTGCGATTAATACGAGGTTTGAGTTTTCTTGACTTTCTCCATTTCACCGATTACTACCTCCCGACTTTAATTTTCTGTTAATACTTCATTGTTTATATTTCTGCACATATTCTTCTTATATTTCTATTGGCTTTATCTTGTCCATATAATCATCATTGTGCATACTTCATATTACCATATTGTGCATATTATCATCTAACCCCCTTTTATTTGTACATTCTTTTAAAAAAAACTTAATAAATATCAAAACCATAAAATCCTAATTGGTGGACTGTTGGTTATCTGTATCCTGTGTATATCTGTCTCCGCTTTTCATCTCTTTGGCAGGTTCTCAAAAATCTCTTCAATAAAGGAATCGAGTTCTCTTTGTATTGAACTAAAGAGAGAGGATTAAGTGTAGACTTCTTCCTCTCCGAGTGTCGAGATGCTCAATATAGTGTGGGTGGTTTCGATACTCGTCTTTCAATACAAAGACGCTTGTGTTCTCCACACCTTCTCTCTTAAAACCTCGGTCCCGCACCGAGCACATTTTCAAACATTTTTCTCCTAAAAACCTCGGTCCCGTACCGAGTGCATTTTCAAAAAAAAAATACCTTCAATTAGAAAATCGAGTTCTCTCTGTATTGAACTAAAGAGAGAGGATTGAGTGTAGACTTCTTCCTCTCGAGTATCGAGATGCTCACTGTAGTGTGGGTGGTTTCGACACTCGTCTTTCAATACGAAGACATTTTTTCTTTTCCACAACTTCTCTCCGCAATTTTCTCACCTAAAATTTCGGTCCCGCACCGAGTGCAGTTTCAAACTCTTTTCACAACTTCTTCTTTTTACAAGCTTTTTCTCCTAAAAACCTCGGTCCCGGTACCAAGTGCATTTTCAAAAACATCTTTAATAAGAAAATCGATTTCTCTTTGTATTGAACTAAAGAGAGAGGATTGAGTGTAGACTTCTTCCTCTCTGAGTATCAGGATATTCACTATAGAGTGAGTGGTCTCGATACTCGTCTTTCAATACGAAGATGCGACTCCATTCACCACCTCTCTCTTTCAAACTTCCATCTGAAACTTTTACTCCTAAAACCTCGGTCCCTTACCGAGTGCATTTTCAAACTCTTTCCACACAAAAACTTGAATGGTCGTGGAGTGGTTAGGCGTAGGCCTTCTCCTATCCTGAGTGCTTGACATTTACCGTAGGGTTTGCCGTCACAAAGCACTTACCATTCAAAACCAAAAACACTTTAATAAGAGAATGAAGTTCTCTTTGTGTTGAACTAAAGAGAGAGGATTGAGTGTAGAATTCTTCCTCTCCGAGTCTCAGGATATTCACTGTAGTGTGTGTGGTCTTGATACTCATCTTTCAATATGAAGACGCGACTGTATTCGCCACACCATTTCCATAACAAAGCTTTGAGATAAAGAATTGGGTACTACCCGCAAGGGGTTACTATCCAATAACATATTTCACCCCTAAAAACAGTTCCACGAATTAAACGTGACACCTTGCCTCGCATGGCGAAAACTAATCTTTCAAAAAGAATATGTTACATTCGTTCTATCGCAAACAGGTAACGCCTAAGTCTCCGAACGAGCAAGCAACAAAACACCTAAACTTCTAGAATGCGCATGATATCATCATCCACAAAAACACCGGTTACCCGTAGTATCACGAACTACGTTGCTCTGATTTCTCTTGCATGTTAAGAATACGTAGGCATAGGATTGCAACAATCCTAGCGAGCACCCGTTTCTCTTTTCCACCCTTTCCCCAGAAAGGCATGCTACGCCCGTTCTACCGCAAACATGTAACGCCTAAGTCTCCAACGAGCGAGCAGCAAAACACCTATACTGCTAGAACGCGCACGATAGCATCGTCTACCAGAACTCACCCGCAAACCGTAGGCCGAACTACGACTGCTATGATTCTTTACTTCTTTTGAGTAAAGATACATAGGCACAAGGGCCACAATCCTTGCCGATCATATTCCTCTCTTACCCGTGGTTCTCCGAACTACGTCGACTCTGACTTTCTCATATCTATTGAGAATACGTAGGCCTAGGACCGCGAAGTCCTACCGAGTCCTTTCTTCCCTATCATCCCTCTCTTCTTCCCCGTTACCTCTCTTTCCCTGTTTCTAGCCCTTCTCTTTATCTCTTGGAACACTCATAAAAAGCAATATATTTTAGCAAATATCTTCACACATCGACAAACAAATGGCTCCCATCGAGTACGATGGATGCGAGGGGTGCTAATACCTTCCCTTCGCATAACCGGCTTCCGAACCCGTTCTTGGTTGCGAGACCATCTTATCCGTTTCTTTCTTGAAGTTTTCTCGATATTTTCCTTTCCCCTCATAGGATAAATAAAGTTCGGTGGCGACTCTTCTTTCTATCTTTTTAATGAAAAGAAATGGAGAGGCGAAAAAAAGTAGTCAAATGAAATGTTTTTCAATTTTTAAAGATATTTAATACTTATTAATTACTAATATTTATAATTAATGAATCTCTTTCAAAAATATTTTTGTTTATTATTGTTTTTTAATCAAGGTAAACTTTCATTAATTCAAAAAACTATTGTCACTATGTGTAAAATAAATGTTGTTCCAATACCTCCAAGTTTCATATATTATCTCAATGAAAGCAGTTTTGAGGATGGTTGCCCTCAAACCTTTAAAGTTTTGCATAATCCAGATAAATTTCTCATTCCAGCTCCCCAAGCATTGCCTTCCAAATTTGTTGTAGTTCTGTACGTTCAAACATAATATGGTTGAGAGTTTCAACCTGTGGAAAAAGCAACAAGTATCAACATCAATAATCCCTAATCTTTTCAATCTTTCTTTAGTACCCAATCTATCATGGAAAGCTAACCAAGTGCTGACAATGGCTCTAGGTCTTGCCAGGTTGCTAAAGAAGAGTTTGCTCCAAGATACACTTTGCTGGTTGGCTAGATTCATCTTCTTTATAACTTGATAGCTGTAAAGATGACACTTCTAATGAGTTGCACTTTTCCTGCAAAATTGAGCAGCTATGCACTCTAGTGCTTGATTCTCATTATACACCATACTCATACAATGATGAACGGATAGCTTTTTGCTTACAATGTCTTCATCATCAAGATTCCAATCACAATTTCAAATCATTCATTAAAAAGTAACCACGCCGCAAAATTATATATATATATATATATATATATATATATATATATATATATATATATATATATATATATATATATATATATATATATATATATATATATATATATATATATATATATATATATATATATATATATATATAGTTTAACCAATGACACAATGTTTCACTGTCTTCATCATCAAGATTTCAATCACAATTTCAAACCATTCTTAACTAACTACGTGGCAAAACTTTATATATATATATATATATATATATATATATATATATATATATATATATATATATATATATATATATATATATATATATATATATATATATATATATATATATATATATAATTTAACCAATGATACAATGTTTTAATGTCTTTATCATCAAGATTTCAATCACAATTTCAAACCATTCTTTAAAAAGTAACCACGCTGCCAAACTTGCCATTTTCTAGACTTTAAACTCTAAATCTATTCAAAAACAAAACACAAATCACGGATGCTAACGCGTTATTGTTTAAATCAAACTTTTAAGCTAACTAGCTTAAACGGACTTTTAGAAAATCTAAATCAAAATGCAGTTTTTGTTGCTCTACTGAATTTTTATCTTTTGAATATTTTTCTTAACTGAAAAAAATTAAGGGAAAAAACCCGAAATCAATTTCAATATATAAACTGGCGTAACTTTTTCATATTTTGTGTTTGAGCCAAACCCGAAGTGGTTTTTTAAACGCACTTCGAAAAAAAGTCGAAATCCCGAATCTTCACAAATTCGGAAAATCGCTTAATTTTGACGTGTCTTCACTTCTTATTACTGATATGTTTTACCGGAAAGCCCTCGCTTCCCTCGCTGTATCATCGGTTCCCCTTTCTCCAAGACAAAATCATACTGCTGTTATTACGAGATCAGTATGGAGTTCCAATCTTGATCAGGAATTCAGATTGCTTCGATCCGTGATCGATCTTTATCCTCTCATTTCTATGGACACTGAATTTCCCGGTGTTGTTATCGGTTCTGATCCCGGTGATCCGTTTCGGGACAGTGCTGACACTCTCTACTCGGTTCTGAAAGCCAATGTGGACAGATTGAATCTGATACAGATTGGACTTACATTATCGGATCATACCGGTGATCTTCCGAATTTCGGCACGGATCAGTTATTTATTTGGGAGTTTAATTTCAAAGACTTTGATGTTGGTAGAGATGATTTTGCAATGGACTCTATTGAGTTGTTGAGGCGTCAGGGGATTAATTTCGAGAAAAATAGAAAGTTAGGAATTGACTCGTTTCGGTTTGCTGAGTTGATGATGTCTTCGGGTCTTGTATGTGATCCTAGCGTTAATTGGGTGACGTTTCATAGCGCGTATGATTTTGGCTATCTTGTTAAGTTGTTGACACATCGCGACTTGCCTGAGGATTTAGATGAGTTTCTTCGTGTTGTGATGGTGTTTTTTGGAGATAAGGTGTTTGATGTTAAGCATTTGTTGAAATTTTGCTCTAACTTGCATGGTGGGTTGGATGGGATTTGCAGGTCAATGAAGGTGGATCGGCTTACAGGGAAAAGTCATCAAGCGGGTTCGGATAGTTTGCTTACGTTGCATGCTTTTCAGAATATCATAGAGCTTTACTTTGAAAAGGCGGAGGGGTTTGTTAAATACGGTGGTGTGTTATATGGATTAGAAGTTCGTTATAACAACAACAAAGCCTTATCGCATGCGGTGTTTTGTATGGATTAGAAGTTTTCTACAACAACAACTTATTCCGAGAAGTTTGTTAATAATTTAATTTTACATTGTCATGGAACCAAGATAAATGTCAGTTTTTTATTGTTTTTTTCCTTTTCTAACCTGTGTCAAATCATGGCTTTTCATTATCTTTAGGTAAATTTAATTCTGTGTTCAAATACATTTGCATCTCATCTTCATAACTGTAGTGTAGTAGGATGGAGTCTATGCATTATTTCCTTAGGATATGTTTGGATTGATGGTATGTGATGGAATGAAGTGATAAATAGTGTGATTCCATTGTTTGATTTTGCAAATAATAGATGGAATGGAGTGGAACATTATGAAATCCATTTTATCCCATTCCATCCAACCCTCCATTTTATATTCCATCTAATTTGGGGTATATGAAATGAAACATTATTAATGAAATATCCAAACAATGGAGTAGAATGTATATTTCATTCTGCTGTGCTCCATTTCATTATGTTATGTTCCATCAATCCAAATATAGTCTGAATTTAGAGTCTATTTTGGTAATGAATAGACTGAATTTTCACATCACTTACATGTTCACTATTATTGTAGAAGCAATTTATATAATAGAAACAATTAGGTTGAAGTTGCACTTAGTTCATGTTTAGTTATTCAACTATAAAATGTCAAGCTACTTCTATCAAAAGATTAGAATAATAGACATATTCTTTTAGTTGCTTCGTTTTGGTTAGTCTGTTTGCATGTCTTCTTTAATTGGGTTGCAAGAACTTCACAATGGAACAGCATAGCATGGATGGTATGTAATATTATGAACTTATACTATTTCGGCTATTTTTATATTCTTGGCCGTTTCTTATTTTACTTTTTCTATTGTCCAATCTCACTGTAAGATAATATTCTCTGTTTCTCTGTTGGTTGAATAGAGATTGAATGATTGTTCAAAAGAATGTTTAATTATTCAAGTTTTGACAAATTTCACGAATCTATTTTTAATAGAAAGTGCCAGATAAGAACGTTTCTTCTATTTTTTTTAAGATGCTCCATTAATCTGTTATCTTTTGTGCTACAGATTCTTGCAACATTTATTGTACTTGTTCTGAGCTGGCCACAAGGCCCAGTAGCTGGATAAGAGGTAGTCAGGAAGAAAGTCTGCGATTTCATTTTTCTCACCAGACACTAGAATTCTCTTCATGAACTCATCATGCATGATCTCCCAGAAACGATCCAACGGGCAACCGTATCTTATTCACATGCAGTTATCAACCACTTATCCTATTTAAAGGAGAATGCACGTCACTCTCAAGGTACGGTTCATATTCCATTCAAATTTCATTTTCACTCTCTTACTTACTTGACTTGACCGTTGGAGTACTAACCTTTCAGGTCAGACTCCGTTCACTGTATCAGAAATTCAGAACCACTGCAACTCGTTGTGGATCTCAGAGAAGAACAGTACTAAATAAAAAATAGGCTGTGAAATAATTGTCTTTTCATACTTTTGAAAGCTACTATATAACAAGTAAGTATGTGTTCTATGATCTGAGTAAAAGTTCATCTTATTCTACTTCTCCGTTCCTACACTTCTAGCAAAATGATATCATGACTGCAAATATGGATTCAATTATCCTTTAGTATTGGTTGGAAACTTGACTTCTGTTGGCATTACCATGAAAGCTTCCTACTGCTTGGTGAATAACACTTTTAGTCATATATTGCTACCTCTGAGGTGAACTTACTGATCTAATAACTAGATTTCATTTAATAATATCTGCAAATCTCCCTCTCCCCTGCATTATATTTTTTACTCATGACAATGGTTTATGCATTTTTAATGTGTTCAATATAGAAATATTTTCATAAAAGTTGTGCATTCAATTCTCTCAAGTGTCTTTTGCTTTCATGTACTACTTATGCACATGAGAATTTCCGATACTATTACATTTTTTCGTTTAATGTTACTTATTAGTATTACTAAGGACATTTGGAGTTTGGACATGGTTTTATAGGGTCCTACATGTGTTCAATAACTTTATTTGCTCATTCATTTTTTCTGTTATCAATGAAATTATGGTTTCATTGTTTTCTCCAGCCTTGAATTTGGAACTTGAAATACCATGGACTGTCAAATTGTCTTTCTTGCTCTAATAAAAGTCTTGTTTTTATGCATGAATGCATGCCTTGATGTTACAAGAAGATTTAGCTATTGAAACTGAATATCTGACTCTGTCCTTAGATATCTTGTTTACACTTGCTTGTCCCTGTATTGTTTTAGAAACATGTGTTGGTTTGCTTTTATAAATTTAGAGTTTAAAAGGTTTAACTAGAAACACGTACTGGTTTGCCTGATAGATTTTTAACTGCTCCTTTATCATTCAGCTACATTTGGAATGGTCAAATAACTTACCTATGAGTTATCATCTGGAATGCAATTTTTCAAATTTTTTTGACTTTTTCTTATGGTTCAGATATGTATATCGTTTTAATCCTGCCTATGTTAGCTTTGCTATACATAGCCGGTACCAAGCCCGGATAAAAGGAGAGGGTTGTGTTAGACAGTTGACAGCTAACGTAAAACTTCGTCGAATCTCTATGACAAGGATCAACTAGGAAATAATGTGAATGCTAGGTCATTGTCTGAAAGCAACGTGTTGTATGGCTCGAGTACAGTGTCAAAAGAGTAAGGGTTGCTGCATCGCCACCTGGATGTAATTAAAAATAAACAACGATTCCCACATTTTTCGTGAACGAGTGTGGGTAAAGAAGTTAGTACATGAGAGTAAGATTCAGTTTGGATCATGGAATATAGACACTTACTGGAAAATCTATGGAAATAGTTGAAACTATGTCTAGGAGGAAGATTAATTATATGTGCTTACAAGAAACTAAGTGGACACGCAAAAGCGAAAAAATTAGACAATCCGAAATTTAATTTTTGGTACACTGAAAAAGTTAGATCGAGAAATGAGGATGGGATTATTGTGGAGAACGAGTGAAAGAAGGATATTGTGGATGTGACAAGAGTAGGAGTTCAAATCATAGCATTGAAATTTGTAGTGAAACAATTAAGTTTTTAGACTTTGTTTGGGAGTTTAGAGGGGGGAGGAGAAGGGAAGGGAAGGCTTCCGAAAACGAATTTAAAAAAATATATAAAAGAATATTTGACATTTTTTTAAAAGAATGATTTTGTTTAGAATGATAATAGAGTGTTTATTATTACTATATTGTTAATTTTCAGAATACTATAACAACATAAAATTCTTCAATTCTTTTATGTAAGCCTTCCAAAACTTTCAAAAACCCTCCTTTATTACAAATTAGGAGATTTTTTGTGTTGTGAATAAAAGAAACCCTCCAAAACCCTCTCAACCAAAATTCTTCAATTCTTTTCACTCAATCTTTCCCTTTTTTCAAAGTCCTCCCTTTCCATCCGAATTCTCAAACAAACCCTTAATGTTATTAGTGTTTATGCATATTAGATTGGTTAACAGAACACCCCAGTAAAATTTTGGAATAATTTAGTTGGAATAATTTAGAAGGCTTGCTTTAGGAGATATCCCAAAGAGAGAAGCTTTTTTCTATGAGGAGATTTAAATGGTCATGTAGGGAGTGTAGTAAGAGGTTTTGAGAGGTTGTATGGGGGTATGGTCTAGGGGAGGTGAATGTGGAGGGTTAATCCTTCTTAGAGTTTTCGTCGGCTTTGGATCTTACTATAATAAATACATGGTTTATGAAAAGAGACGAGCATCTTATAACATATAAAAGTGAGATGATATGTTCTCGGATAGATTTCTTTCTTATAAAGAAGTCAAATAGAAATATTTGTTTGGACCGTAAAGTTATTCCAAAAAAGGACTTGATTATCCAACATAAAATATTAATTATGAGTGTAAGAATAAGCAGAAGAGAAAAAGACATTCCTGTACTATTACATTTTTTTCATTTAATGTTACTTATTATTACTAAGGACATCCGGTTATTTCATTAAGTTTGGAAGAGCTGAGTTTTACTGTGAACTATCAAATTGTCTTTCTTGATCTAATAAAAATCTTATTATTATGCATGGTACCAATCAATGATGAATATGGTTGCTGGTGGATCAGAAAGTTTTTAGTATTTGTTGCATTTGAAATCTGAATGCAGTGTTATACATACAGCAACAGGTACCATAGTCTTTCTATTATGCTTGTGCCCAAAATTGTACTTGTGGGTTTCTCAAGGAGTTTTGTTTAAACAATTTTGAATTTACCTCTACTGTCAATTGAAGAGTTTTCCTTAAAAATCTGTCATCTAAAACGGGGTTGCGAGCAGTTTATTTTCTATTAATTTGCTATCTTTATTATATAAAATAGAATAACCTATGCAACTTTTATGAAACTCTAATTCCTTTTCTTTTTCCTCCTTTATGTTCCAACTATAACTTTAATTATTAATTATTTATTTATATTTTAAATTTATTATTGATTTACTGACATAGAAATTAGTATGAATCATTTTTAAAATTGCATTAACTTCACACATATTAATTCTTTGTAGATATGAAAAGTTGCATTAAACTCCAACGTATACACCCAATGCATAGTTTTATATAATAAAGATTTTCACTAACTTCTCACATGTACAATACATTCTCTTTGTAAATCTAAAAAGTTACTTTAGGTATATATCCAATGCATAATGATTATCATTAGTCTTGAGCCTCTCAATTAATAAATGCACAACCCCATATATCCATTATTTTTCATAAGCTATTATTATAAAGAGTGGTTGCTATCAAACAAATACTCCTACATCGCAAGTTTAAAAATAATACTGAAGTTAAGGTTGCTATACTTAGTTGAGTTCAAGGATGTCTGCAAAAGGTGTCAAAAGTATTTTCGTTTGATGCTAATCAGTTTATATATTTTTAGTTCATATATTTTTACTAGTTGATTATTTCTTATAAAAAATGCAGTTGTAACTTCCGTACCACCCAAGATCACTGCATACTCCTGAATTTCTAAACACCATTGTATCTT